CGCTAGTTTAAATAAAGCTAGCGTTATTTTCAATATGCGTCAATGTGCATTCCGACATTCTAGTAGGTATTATTCATGAGAGGCATCAGAGCACCAGTATCGATGCGCTGAACGGGTACCAATCACCCGCCACTTAAGGCTTAATTAGGCACAAGAAAGGGGCATACATCTCGCAAGTTCCCATGGTGGTATGCAAAAATTGTTGAGAAAATACGTATCGACTGTGCGTGCCCGCTAATTCCCGGCTCTCTTGCTGTAATTTCAGCATTTAGCTATAAGACTGGGAATCGTAATGGACTGCCCGACTTGGTGCATTGCGGTTTAATTGTGTTTCGGTGATGCATTCTCTTTGATAAATTGTTGGTATAAGGAACACGAGTAGTTCACCGATGCAACATGTTTTTTTTCGCAGACTATTGGAAGGAGAAACTGTAAAAAGTGACATTACATTAAAAAAAAAAGACTTTTATATTTTATGCTAATTATTTATATTAAATGAAAGGATTTTATCGCATTTAATTGTTACTTATTATGATGATATTACAATATTTCGAATGCTTTGCAGCATCTAGATCATACCTAAACCGACCGTTACGTTAACCGTTTTATTTCATTAGTATCGTCTTGATTGACAAAAATTGGTTTGGATCGGTATCACGATTCCGTAAGACAAGAACTCTGGTACACGGGCTTATATATATATATATATTTTTTTTTTTTTTTTATATAGTCAATTACAACGCGTCTTGCCGTGCGTTACCTAAAACACTTGGAATGCCGCGACCTACGAGCACTTAACCCTAGCCGTGACAGACCACTTTGAACTTAAATGCAATGACACTTTCACTATAGTTTGACCGTACAGTTTACCGGTATTTTCGCGTTCACAACTAGTATCGTGATCGGTAATCCATCCCAAGCATGGTAATTAAGGCAAATCGTTGCAACAAACGAAAATGACATTAGGGTCTTGTTGAAATAAAATAAAATAAACATACATACCAAGTTGTACCTGTTTGCGATACAACCTGTTTACCAGCTTAAGATAATCTTCAACCCATTTCATCACGTTGGAGTCGTATGAGCTTCCATTTCCCCCGGGCGTAAAACACTACAGAGGGTTAGCATCAAAGGTGCGAGACGGCTGGCACTGCGATCTTTAATCTGCCTACCAGGCTTGTCGATTACAGCCTAATCTTTTCTAAAACAGTTAGGCCCATGCCCAGCAGTGGGCTTTTACCAAGTCAATTAAAGAGACGCTTAGAATATAAAATTACACGAGATAAAGACTTGGTTAAACTTTCGTTCTCTAGACATTACTGAATTGTTCTTCATTACGTATTTGTGAAAAGATATTTGTTCTGGGCTATATATTTTATGTGAAAAACTTGTAGTTTATTTAAGAATTCTAGAAATTGATAAAACAACTGGTCTTTTATGTTTATCTTAAACTTGAACAACGTCATAATAGATTTTATCCAGGTAAAGCCGGGGCGAGAGTTTAACATAATAGAAGTAAAAACAATTACCTCAATGAAATCAATAATAGAAATAACATTTTTATTAAATATCGGAGCTTATAATCCGGATTATAAATATGTCACTTTTTAAATAAGAGTAAAATGTGTTAGTTAAATATTTAGATATAAATACCTACTACATACAATGTCATATTATTTTCCCAACAGTAATTAGCAAAAGTGACGATTAGACCAATCAAAGCTATTTGAGTTTCAAAACACAAACGATAATTGAGTAAACACTGGTAAGGAAATCATATGCAAACAATGTTTCTCACGATTTACGGTTAATCGGGCGTTTATAGAATCCTCAGGCTGTGGGCCCGGCCTGTGGTACGCGGGAGAGTCGACAGTTCCTCGGGAATGTCTGCCAGATAGGCTCGCATGATTTGAGAAGCAAGTACTGATATTCACATTACTGGAAGGCAGTATCAGGATACCAAGTAAATATAAGCACCAAGTATAAAAAAATTATTTGGCTTAACCTTGTGTAAAGAAATAACTTTAAAATGTATCATAATTCGTTTCAAAGCTTTGACATATATATGATATGTTATTTGATGACTGCATTTTGCGTTTTATTAGCAACTATATTAGATATTTAGATTTTATTATGATAAACATACATTTTAAATTTGTTAATTTTAATTAAGTAAATTATAATTAAAAAACAAAGACCCTTTTGGGGTGATCTATAATTAAATAAGTAAAATAATGAATTCGTTACAATGTTTGTCAATCGAGCGTCATATTATTTTAATTCAAGCGTTATATTGATATTATAACAACAAAATAAAATCCGTCAAGATATTTAAGCTACAGCAAGTTATAAACGGACAAACATACCCCATACCTAAAATTGGTCTCACAAGCTCCTAGCTCTGGTAAAATGTTGTAGTACACATACATTAACATTATATACTTGTAACTACTTTAAGATATTAAATTTATATTGAAAAAATACATTACGGATATATTGTATGCAGCGTACAAAATCTCAGTTGGCCCATGTGAACCTTCGTTGGCGTGCATTGCGGGCGTGACATGAACCGACAGGGTTCGATTCCCCGAAGGCACTATTACTACCAATAACCATCAGCCGGTAGCCGAACGAAACCGCTTATTTCCTCTAATTTTGTTATCAAATACAGACCTTTATTTTTGCGGTAACAGTAACGTCACCTAACTGTGGTATAACAGTCGTGTGAACGTGAATTTTGTAACTTAATTATTGATTTTCATACGCGTTCAGTTCAAGGCCGCTTTATGATGCCAACATGCACAAATTGCGGTCTCCGTGTAACACGACCTTGTGCTAATGGGTTAATTGTGCTTGAAAAAATATACATTTCCAGATACACTTAAAACTTAATGTTACTCGTAGTGTAGAGGCTATTGGTCTACGAGTATGTTTTTCATTTATTTTTTTAATTCCTTTATGACGAGGATAGAGCAGCCTAGTACAGGTAAGCGATCATAGGCAAAATGGATGGCTAATGACCTTGTAACATTCCTTGGAGGAGGACTTTCTTCAGCAGTAGATTTGTAAAAAGTTGTAATGATGATGACGATGACGAAATTATGTTAAAAATATAACAATGTTCGTGATGACTTTCTTTCAAAATTTTTGGTAATCGTTAAGGTCAACATAATGATAATTAGTCTTGTCTAAATATAAACCTATTAAAGAAGATCCCTTCTGTAGTTACTTATGCTACTAAATAGACATCATGAATGATCAATGGCAGAAGAGGTCACTGCTCTAGAATGATATACACAAGTTCTATTCCAAACGTAATGGGAAACCGAGCGTTTATGAGCATTATTAGACTTGCAAATTTAAGCGTTGCATTTGAACTTCAGTAAGCGAGAGCGGCCAAGTGATGCGATGACAGCTGGGACTGCACGCGTGTTAGATATTAATTTATTTGCGGTTTGTTAGCGCTGCAGTTGCAGCGAGTGGAAGGCCAGGGTGATTTGCTTTATTTGCCGACGGTACCGCCCGGTTGTGCTTGGGAACTACTTTAATATCTCCTCAATTTACAAGCAATAACCGTGATATGGTGGTGTAAGAATTTCCAATGCCTAATTTCGAGCTGTGGTTGTCGTACAGGGGGAAACAAATCAGGAGATGGGCCGCTGTCTTTTTTTTAATAACAACTAGAAATAAAAAATAAAAATACTCGCCTGACAAGTTGCTGTTATTGCAAAATCTCTCTTATGAGGCAATCTATGGGGCCTATGTTCGGCGTTAAACTTTGATAGGATTGTGATGAATTAATTAATGAAAAAAAGTAACAGAGTGTGAATTATTTTAACGATATTTCTTACACCAAAATGATTGTTCAATCCGTTAACTGTCGTGATAGTACGAAGTATTGCATCCTGTTTATTTTTTATAGATTGTCACTTTTGATACTGGCAAGTAATTTTGGATAGGTTAATTAAAAAGAAAGTTAATAAATAACACAGTAACCGAAGAATCAAATACCTTTAAACGAGCAATATATATATATATATATATATATATATATATATATATATATATATATATATATATATATATATATATAATCGGAATCTCGGAAACGGCTCCAACAATTTTCATAAAATTTTGTGTCCAGGGAATTTCGGGGGAAATAAATCGATCTAGCTAGGATTTATTTTTAGAAAATGACTTTTTGTCCGTGTTTTGAGGTAATGAATGAATGAATGAAAAATATTATTCGTATTTTATCAGTATGTAATTTGTATCTAAATATAATTTCCAAAACACGCGAATTAAAAAAAACCGAGCGAAAAATACCGAGCAAAGCTCGGTAAACCGGGTACTTATATCAATAAATGTGCACCATTAAATCCCATTTACAGAAAGTTTTTACTAGTTTAGTTATCGGCATCAATCGTCATTTTCTTATCAATCAAACGTGAGCAGACATTGTATATCACAATCTAGAGTTATATACAATTAAAGACGACACACAGTAAACAATTAGAAAAAGTGGAAGCGGCGAAATTCTGCACCACTCCTTATTATTATATTAACTGATACATTATATTATGTCAATGAATATTTAATGTTTAATTAGGTAAAATTTATATTACCGTGTAGCGACGGTTTAAGAATATCTACTACCCTATATCATCACGTGATTTTCGGAAAAATTGACAGAGGAAAACAAATCAGAAGTGTCTTTCTAATATCGACTAAAATTAAAACACTGCGATTGCTAACCCGTTTACCAAGCGTGGCAGTTATAGCAAGTATCCCCCTACGAGGCAAATATCCAAAGCATAATCCAGAGCAAATATCCCCCTATATGGTGGAGGCCTATATTCAGCAGTGGATTTTAGTAGGCTGTAACAATAAAATGTATAAATAATTTTAAAGCAAGGAAATGTTCCTTCTTTAAAATTATTTATACATTTTATTCAGCTACGTAATATTTTTTTAAATATATGTTTTAAACAAATGCTTACCTTGTTGGAAATAGTTGGATTTCCTCACATATACGCAGACGAGAGCCATGAGCTGGAGTTGTGACAGTCGCTGCCGCGTGGATGGGGGTAAAGGAAGGAGGTCCCGTAGGTTGGCGATCTCCGCGTTGATAAGGTCTCGTCGTAGCTTGCTCGCGCCTTTCGTGGATTTCCCTTGATCGAACCTGGAAAAAACCTGCAAAGTTAAAATTTGAAAATATCATTCGCTGTTTTCAAGTACGAAGTTGATTTGATGCTAAAGGGCATTATAAAATATAAAAAAATATACAAATATATGGACGTTGAGTGTTCAATAATGAATAGAGAACCAGGTTACCTTTACTTCGTACACAGTACTGTTTCAGATAGACAGTTTATGTCTTTGGAAAATAAATGCTAATAAGTTATAGAAAAGTTGCTAACAACCTAAGTCTAAGGTCTTTAATAAGATTCAAATCCCAATTAAAAAAAAATTGATATTAATTTTAAAACATCAAGTACTCCCATCGGGCTTGAACGTACTATGGCCGTTTTCGTAAATCATCGAATTAAATTAATTCCAATTTTTACCTAAGATAAATTAAGTAAAGCAATTACCAAAACGTACGTTTCATTATCATCATGATTACAGCTCATCACAAGTCCACTGCTTATGATGGGTCTCTTCTAAGAAATGTCACAAAACACGGTACCGAACCACCATCACCACCTAACTACTGACTTCCTGCAATCTTACCAGACCGTCACTTCATCTAGTGGGGGACCAACCTACACATTAATTACCGGTACGAGGCTTACTAGGGCTTACGAGGCTTACTTAGGTACTCAAGAACCTTTCTTCCGCATCGGCTGTCGATTCTTCTTTAACTTATTTTTCCACACACTATATTAAAACTTGCATAGCGAAGGAAACATCCTGTTGTAGTATTTAAAATTGGCTAAATGGTGCTGAAAATAGTATTTCTTTGCAAATTATGCTACACGTGACCACAAACAAACATTACATCAGTATTAGCACAGCAAAAATCATACTTCTACTCATGTTTAACATGATACGGGATATATACGGGAAGATTTTGTTTTTGTTTACAAACCGATGAAAAATCTATACAGTTCCACCTGGTAGTAGGAAGCTACTGAGCTTATTGATATCTGTAACTAATGAAAATGGAGTACTTCATTGCATCTAATTATCTGGCTTTCTAACCTTCAGACCGGTTAAGATTAATGGATGTACTGCATCTTAGCTTGAGAAATAGGTATAAGAATGACATACGTCCTATTGGTTTTAAAAGGCGCCCTACCATCTAGTCGCCATATGTTACTGTTTAGATCATTGTCATAATCATAAACACTCACGCTTGTCACCCAAAGAGGTAGGTAGAGACTTCAGACTTCTATTTAGCACAATCCTCCACATACCACTCTCGCGCTCTCGCTTCCTCCACATCCATATACCTACGCATACATGCTCGTCAGCTAAGGGTACTCTTAATTTGGCCCATTTTCAATATATGGCCAATTTGGTCAATAAAATTTCACCTAAGACGTCTCTTCCGTTCACTTCTGCAACATAAATTTGGTTTGTCACTCTTTCCTCATTCACTTTTCTACATGACCAAACCACTGAAGCATTCCTTTCTTAATCCTAGTCACAACATCATCATAGATCATTTTATACAAGTAAGAATGATAAACGGCTAACCCGACGGTAAGTAGGTGCTATACATCTACTTACAAAAATTTTCGACAAAAAAAAAATATAAATGCAGTTGTCAACCCTGATGACTAAGATGGAATATTTTGTTACCAGTAAAAATAATCTATGGTTCTCATCACTCACCATACGAACACAGAAGCATTATGCTGTTATTTCACGCTGTAGGTATTCTGCTGGCAAATAATACCGTGGTCTTTCCTAATGCGGTATAAATACCTTTTTTTTACTAACTTTAAAAAGGATCATTTATTCGATTCGACTGTTTTTTATGTGCTTATAACTTTTCTCTGGGTGAACCGATTTTGATGATTCTTTTTTTTTATCTGAAAGCTGGTACTTCTCGTGTAGTCCCATACACATTTAATCAAGATTTCACCTGTGATTTTTGAGTTATCTTTAACACTGCATATTTAATTGACTCCGTATACATTGATGGTGTTCTCATTTTAATTATATTGTAGCTGTAGTACAGACATTTTAATTTTACCACTTGTTGTAAGATAAGGTTGACAAGCGAGCGCACAATCTAAGTCATTGTAAGTGGATGCTGTGGTCATAGACATCTACATCTATCCTCGAATAAGATTAAAAATGCAGTTGCGTTGTCAACCTTGAGGACTAATATGGAATGCCTCGTAACCCGTAAAAAGGGTCTCCGGTTCTCTACACTCACCATACAAAACACTGAGCTGCTATTTTACGCTGGTATTCTGTGAGAGCGTGGTCCTTCCCTAGTTGAGTCAACCTATTCGTGTTACCACTATAATGTAGCTGCAACATGGCTTTACCACGTATTAATATAAACCATAATACGTTGCAGTGTGATTTTACGTATATAACATAAGCCGTTGTTCTAATAATTAAGAGTATTGATAAAAGAGTTCTTTGTATTTTGTTATATGAAGTAGAACTATTGTATGAAGATGCTGAACATGGAATGCGCAACCACCTCACAACCTGTAATTGTAATAGTTCTCCATTCATTTTAGATCGGAACACAGAAGTAAGTAAAGTAAAGTTACAGCCCATATACTTCCACTGCTGGCACAGGCCTCCCCTCATTTCTGAGAGGGTTTTAGGGCAAGGAAGTGTCCGCCGCGCTGCCCCAATGCGTGTTGGCGAACTTCACATGTCTTCGAAATATTTTTTTCTTATTCCTCAGACATGTTTTCAGGTTTCCTCACGATGTTTTCCTTCACCGCCGAGCATGTGGTAAATCTGCACTTAAAATTGCATTTAACAATTTCATTGGTGCCGGCGGGGATCGAACCCGGGTTACTCGCATTCTGTTATATTTACAGCGAGCGTTAACCATCTGAGCTACCACGGCTCTTTGCCGCAGAAGTGCTAAAACTTATACGTGGTAGAGCTATGCTGCAGCTATATTATGCTTGTAGCACGAATAGGTCGCCTCTACCGGGGGAGGAACACGCTCTCACAGAATACCAGCGTAAAATAACAGCTTAATACTGTTGTGTTTCGTATGTTGAGTGTAGAGATCCGGAGACGCTTTTTTACTGGAAACGAGACATTCCATCTCAGTTCTTATGGGTTGACAACGCATCTGCAATTTAATTATGGGATGTCTAAGGGCCACGGCATCCACTTACCTTCAGGTGGACTGTATGCTCGTTTATCACCCTTATTCTGTTGAAAAAAAAAACTGCAATTTGACGGCAGAAATAGGTAAAGGAGACCCAGATAGACTCATAGTTATAAAAAGATTCCTACCACCCAGTTATTACTTAAATATTGCATGCAGCAACTGGATGTAATCATAAAAAAAAATGAAATAATTGGCCACGATTATAGGTATCCCATGACGTGATACGCCTATCTTAAAATAGCCTTCGCTTCAAGCGTTCGGAATGCGGTTAATTAGTTTCGCAAATAGTTGCAATTCCGTGATTGTTACATCGCGTTGACCCGGGTCGATCACGTTATTTCTACCCGACTATATTGAAGCCTACAAAGTTAATAATTGTGTTAGTATGTATGTGTCGCAGGATTTTGATGAAATCAGGACTGTGTCACCCCAGTTTATGCACAAAGATGGGGCAATTCCCGCGCTTCGACTGCGAGCTATGTTCCATTTATCATTAGGATAAACAAATCCAAGATTTTGATTAAAAGATCTACAATACAATACGATACTCTTTATTGTACACCAATAATAGGTAAAAATAACAAAAAAAAAAAGAACAAATATTGAGATAAAACCAAAAGCAACCCAGAAGAAAAATTAAATAAGAAAAATAATAACGGCCTGGCCTACATGTATGCACTAAAATAAGAAAACACTGAAATACATGGAATAACGATGAAGTCTAGCCTTTTTTTTTCAAAATCCTAGAATTTAATTAAATCATAATTTGATCGAAATTGCTGCAACATAATACCTATGTATTTTCGTTTTAATGTCCGCCAATACCTTCTAGACTGATCGTAAAATTTTAATAACATAAGTCTCTTTCGATTGATTATACAGCATAAGCAACATAAATTATATGACGTCATAATAACTTATATTAATAATGTCATCCAGACCGGATTTCGGTTACGGAGGCCAGTCCAAACGGAGATTGCCATCTGTGCAGGACAGGATTATATTGCCTAAATGTATGCGAGCAAGCACAGTTGCACTCTCCATTTCCCCATTATCATCGTCCGATAGGACTGTAATATGGCACGGCCGAAAAGAGATCAGGCGCAGTACGGCTTTACGTGCTTTCCGAGGCACGGAGGTGAAAATATATTATACTTCCTGACTCCAGGCAGCTACCGAAAATTCTTGTCAAAAAAACATAACTGATTTTGGTTCGACCCGTGATTCGAACCCAGGATCTTAAAAGCAAACGTGTTCACGACCACTAGACAGACGAGGTAGTCGTATCTTGTTATAGATATAGCGGACATTAATTGTCAAAAACTCGAGAGTTTAAAAGTTATTAATTAGCATAAAAACATACCATGTAAATAGAGATTTTAAATCTATAAAAAGATACGGAAACTTAATCTAATGGATCTTGTTAAATAATAAACGTTATTGTGATAATTGAAAGAAACCACCAGGAACTATAAAATCTTTTATACTTTAAACTATTATGAAAAACTTGGTTGTTTGGCTAATTTATCACGATACCAATATCATCAAATTGACATTTAGGTATCAATAACTGTTTACTTATTGTTTATTTAAAAAGAACAATAAAACTATGTGGACATGGCTCTCGCCAAAGAAAAGAAGAAGTCAAATCGATTATATACTAACGAATAGAAAGGAAAACATCTCAAACTTAGAAATCATATCAAACCTAGCGACCATCGACTCTTGAAAAGTACACTACAGATTGCACCGATAAAGAAAAGTAGAGCAAATTTCAAAAATTAAACAACCAAACTCAATACTTTAGAAGAGCAAGAACAATTCATACAAACCTTAAGTACAAACATAAACAAAATTGAATTAGATTATATTAGCACCATACATAACTATTTAATAAGATTCTAAACAATAGAGCAATACCGAAAGAATGGGCACAATCGGACATAATTTTACTCTACAAGAAAGGAGACTCTGCCGTTATTGGAAACTACCGACCAATAAGCTTACAATCAAATATGTACAAACTATTTGCTTCATGTCTTGAGGATCGCCTAGCAACGATCACAAAGAAATTTCAACCGACGGAATAAGCAGGTTTCAGGAAAAACTTCTCAACAATAGATCACATCCACACTTTAAATTCGATTATAGAGAAATATATAGAGCACAATAGACCACTCTACCTGGCATTTATCGACTACGCAAAAGCCTTCGACTCTACATCACAAACGAGCGTGTGGAAAGCTCTACATGAGTGCGAAGTACCATCGGAGACTATAGAACTTATAAAACATAACAAAAAAACAAACACTCACGCCTGTCACCCAGAGGGGTAGGCAGACTTCCATTTGGCACGATCCTGACACACCTCTCTTGTCTCCTTCACATCCATACACCTACGCATACATGCTCGTCGGTTAAGGGTACTCCTAATTTGGCCCGTTTTCAATAAATCGCCAATTTGGTCGATAAATTTTCGCCTAGGACGTCCCTTTCCGACTCTGCCATTCACTTCTGCAACATAAATTTTCTTTGTCACTCTTTCCTCATTCATTCTTTCCACATGACCAAACCACCGAAGCATTCCTTTCTTAATCCTGGTCACAACATCATCTTGCAAACCACACTCTTCTCTTATTACACAATTTCTTACCCTGTCATTCAGATTCAGCCCTAACATACTCCTTAACGACCGCATTTCTACTGCGTTCATTCTACTCTTGTGCTTCTTCTGCCACACCCAACTTTCACTACCATACGTTAAAGTAGGGACCAACACAGCATTGTGAATTGCCATACGTGCATTTTTCGACACATTTTGACTCCTTCACAATAGAGTTTAGGGCCCCATTTATTCTATTTCCTGCATTCACTCGTCGTTCTATATCCTTATCACATCTAACATCCCTGCTAAATACGCAACACAGATAAACAAACTCATCTACTTGCTCGATCAACTCCCCTTTTATTCTTATTTCACGTATCGTCTTACTTTCTTCTCTTTCAAAAACCATTATAAAAGACATCTACTACAAAAGCAAAAGTCGTGTAAAGTTAGAGAGACATGGCCCTGAAATAACCATTTGTAGAGACGTCAGACAGGGTGACCCCCCTGTCACCTAGAATTTTTATAACTGTGCTACAAAATATAATGAAAACTCTGAACTGGGAAAAGACAGGAATAAATATAAATAGCAAACTCCTCAGTAATCTTCGATTTGCGGATGACATCATACTCTTCTCCGAAACAGCATCTCAACTACAGAAAATAATTAATGAACTAAATGATGTAAGCAATACGATTGGCTTAGAACTAAATGCTACCAAGACTAAAGTCATGACGAACCACCATATTATACCAATAACGGTCAATAACAATATATTAGAATACGTTCAAAGTTATGTTTACCTGGGACAACAAGTATCTTTCTCTAAGACAAGGCCCGAAGATGAGGTTAAAAGACGAGTTAACATAACCTGGAATAAATTCTGGAGCAATAAAGAAACCCTAAAATCAAAACTCCCCATAAAACTCAAGAAAAAAATAATGGATACATGTTTACTACCCTGCCTTACGTATGGCTGCCAAACATGGATATACAATAATAAGACTATAAACAAAATACAAGTATGTCAGAGAGCAATGGAAAGGAGTATACTAAATACACAAAGAAAACACAGAAAAAGAAACACAGACATAAGAAATACAACAAAAATAATAGATGCTTTGGAACATTCTCAAAAACAAAAGTGGAAATGGGCGGGTCATATTGCGCGTATGGACAAAGAAAATGGACACAGAGAGTAACTAACTGGCAAGGACCACCAAACAAAAGGAACAGAGGTAGAACAAGACAAAATGGGTTGATGAAATAATAAGAAAAGCCGGTGAAAATTGGATCACAAAGGCAAAGTACAGACAGACGTGGAAAAAAATGGAGGAGGCCTTCACCCGTTGAGGGGTCCGTAATAAATTATGTTATGAATTTTGTACGTAAACTGATCTGAAAATTTATTTTATTTAATATTTTGAAATTTATATAAAATTTAGAAATTATTCGATTCATCATCATCATCATCATTACAGCCCTTCACAAGTCCACTGCTGAACATAGGCCTCCCCCAAGTAATGCCACAAAGCACGGTCCTGAGCCACCTGCATTCATCGACTTCCTGCATATCTTACCAGGTGTCACTCCGTCGCCCTACACTACGCCTACCGGTACGAGGCTGCCACTCGAGAACCTTTCTTCCACATCGGTTATCGGTTCTTCGAGCTATATGGCCGGCCCATTGCCACTTCAGCTTACTAATCCGTTGGGCTATGTCGGTCACTCTGGTTTTACTGCGTATATCCTCATTTCTGAGTCTATCACGCAGATAAACTCCGAGCATAGCCCTCTCCATAGCTCGCTGAGCGACCTTGAGCGTCCTCATACGGCCAGCAGTGAAGGACCACGTCTCAGATCCGTAAGTCATCACTGGCAACACGCACTGGTTGTACAATCTAAGTTTTTAGAGATTATTTAATAATTATTATTATTATTAATTATTCGATTGTAAATTATTAATTCCGATAATTATGAATTGTATTATTTTGTTATATGCATGCATAATTATGTAATCGAAATCTTAAGATATTATTGTTCTTTTTCTAAGTCATTCATTATGGAAATAAAGAGGCTATATTATTATTATAACTGATTAATTAACTGATAAATCAAATTTAACTGATTAATCAGGTATTAACTGTCTCGTAGGTCTAGTGGTTGTAGTAGTGCGACTGCTGATCATAAGGTCCTGGGTTCGAATCCCGGGTTGGGCCAAAAAATCGATTATTGAGTTTTTCCGTCCAGAAATTCTCAGTAGCTGCCTGGAGTCAGGAAGTTGGCCGTGTCTCACCCCCGTGTCTCGGAAAGCACGTAAAGCCGTTGGTCCTGCGCCTGATCTCTCTCTGGTCGTGTCGGTTTACCGTCCCATCGGGTTATAGAGTGTGCACTTGTGCTTGCGCATACGCTTGGGCACTATAATCCTATCCTGCACCGATGGCCAGTCTGCGTTGAAGCTGGCCACCGTGACCAAAATTCGATCTGGCTCTGGAGGACATTATTAATTAACAAGTCAAACTGATTCAAAGCAAAATTCATTTAAAAATTATTTTAGCACACATTTTCGTTTTAGGTGAATTGTTAAATGTTTTAAAGGTTAGAAAATTATTTTTCTTCTTCTATTAAGATTCTTATTTAGATTAGAATATTGTGAATTAAGAATCGGTGAGCCGTCAAATGCCTCTCGTACGTCAATGATCAAGACATAATAATTATATGTGCGTTGTCGGCGGCTAAAGCGGGAGTTGCAAATGGTGGTTGTTGCATGTATTGTTAAAAAAAAAGGGGAATAAAAGTGAATCACTTTCAAAAACTATAATATATTTCGCCGCTACTAAAACGAAAGTAATGGTTATTGAAACAGACGAAAGTAAAATGATATATGAAATAAAAATTGGTTGAGCAAGAATGTCAACGTAAAATAGCAGGTTAATGATACTTTGTTTTGTATGATAAGTGTAGAGAACCGGAGAACTTTTTTACTTGTAATGGAGTTCTATTCCATATGGGTGACAACGTATGCACTTCGATGTAGATGTCTATGGGTTACAGCATCACTTACCACCAGACTGAATATGCGCTCGTTTGTAATTCTATTAGTTAAAAATAAAAATAATAAATGCAATAAGAATTTCCCCTTGGTATACTGCAACACCGCTGGCTGCGTTTTCTCGCTGAATGCTGTACTTAGCCTTTGGGCGAGAAAAAAATAATAATTATTATATAAATATATATATTATATATATATATATATATATATATATATATATATATATATAAAATATATAAATAAAGTAGATCAATCGGAGTAGTTCCTTTAGAATCTTCACCGCAAATGGCACAAGTATAATAATGTAGTCAGCCCTCATAGACTTTTATTTTGTGTCACTAATCAAGTCGCTTCGGCATCAATTCAAATATTTTGTTTATAAAATGGTTATAGCTTATAAAACTTTATTAACCTCATATCTCTTACAAAAAGTAGTTTTACGCAGTTAGTATCAGAATTACTTGAAATTGTTTCCATAAAATTTGTTCCACATTATTTCCTAGTCGATTATTACGTTGGGCTACGTTATAATGACTATTATTCTGAATCGATCAATATATAATGTTTCATATTTCCTAATTTTGTACATTGCCCTTGGAACGTAATCGAAGTAAAATAGAATAAACTAATTGTATTAAAGGTCAAATTTTATTCGGATTAATTTTATAACTCCTGTTTTAATTTCAGTACAAATAACGCATTATTTGTGTATTTTAATTAAAATTATAAAACCCACGAGTAAAGGTAATTGTTCTTATATATATATATATATATATATATATATATATATATATATATATATATAATTGACCAATAAGAAGTCTAGTACTGGAGATAATACTTTTGCATGAAAAGAAGTACAAAAGAAAAGTAAAGTGCCTACGGCAAATTCTTCTGGGTATTTAATTTGGTTGACTCTTATGATATGAGATGAGGTGAGATGAAAATGGCTGACGGATTTTTCTTATGCTCTTGACTCATTAATCTTATTAAAAGTGTACGAGTACCTATTAATATAAGCGTTACTCTATTTATGTTTAACCCTTATTTCGAATTAGTCCGGTAGGATGGACAAGTACTTTAAAAAAATCTGTTGCAATTCTAATTTAGTTTATATTTAACTTTTTTTTAAATAAACGTTAGAAAATATAATAAAGGAAAGGTAGAAAAATAAATTAGTGACCTGGCAATATGTCATCTGTCACTTATTGAGCAAGATGGCGACGACACGGAAGTCTTCAACTTTACTCAAAGTATTTATATGGTTTTTTTATATTATTTATTTTTTTACATTGGATTTTTGTTGTGATATTTGTTGTCATGTAGATAACGCATACATTCACTAACAAAACAATATAGTAATTGCAGTTTATTTACTAAAAATAGACCTGCTGAGTAGTTGTCCGCCACGCCGGACCGTACCGAAACTACGGCAATGCACACGAAGTTTTAGTTGTCCATGGCAGCGGACTTTGTCAATAACATAGTAATAAATAGATATGTGTATTTCCTTTCATGACAGTGCAAAGTATTTAGTTTTCTATATAAATATCAATGTTTTTTTTTATAATAATGAGCATACCTTTTATGAATATTAAATAATATATACATATATCTATAAATTTCCTATACATAATCAGTTCAAATCGTTACACTCTCGTGATATAGCTTTTATTTTTGTGGTGGTTTGCTTAGCTTTTCTTTTTTTGCTCTTTGACAGTGTCTGCTCGAAAAAAATATTAGCACTTGTATCGTGCATTGAAAAAGTGACAAGTCAAATTCTGTAAATGAGCTTGATGAGTCGCATGATTCTAACTCCTCCTCGCCTGCACCATCGCTTGCTTCCTCTTTAGAGCGCATGAATCTTTTGGATGGTTCCTCTGAAGCACGACCTGAAAACAAATCTGAAACAGACGAAGACCCAGATTTATCCAATGTTCCTTTTAACTCCTATTTTACAAGAAATTCTACCTAATCCAACACAAGAACCAAACTTTCAAAACTTGCACTCTATATCATCTTTACCATCTTTACATACCCCATCCCCAGTCACTAGAAAAAGGAGACAAACGGCTACTTTTGTAGCTAAAAAAAGGCCAAGGGAACTACAAAAGTTGAGACTCCGACTTCAAATGGAAAAAAAGGTACTTTTTTACACAAAGCTCAAATAGAAGATCCGGTTATGTCTGGAGATGCCCCCGAAGTTTTGTCACCTTTACAATATTTCTTTTTTTTTCTTCTCACCAGATATCATAACAGATATAGTCAATGAAACAAACGCTTATTCAGTCCAAAGAACTGGCCGATGTATACAGCTAACAGAGAATGAGTTGCGTGACTTCCTGGCAATACACATTTTGATGGGTATTGTACCTCTGAGCTCTTATTTAGATTACTGGAGCATGAAGTTCAGATATGACAAAATAGCAGACGTTATGCCTTTGAAAAGGTACGAGCAAATTCGACGATTTATTCATTTTGTTGATAACAATTTTGAATATAGCGACAGATATTATAAGATTAGACCTATTATAGAGAAGATACGTAGAAATTGTATTGCTCATGAAGATGAAAATAGGTTCAGTATCGACGAGATGATGATTGCATACAAAGGGCGTAAAGCCGGTAAACGGAGGCAATACATGAAAGATAAACCGATAAAATGGGGTTTTAAAAACTATGTTCGGGCAGGTACATCTGGTATGATTTACGATTTTATACCTTATGGAATCATAAGTTTACAGATGAAGAACAATCTTTGGGTTTTGGGGCACACATTGTTATTGCTCTATGTCAAACCATATGAAATAAGCCTG